TGAAGAGGAACAGGATAGTCCTGGACATGCCCTTCCTGCTTTCAGATGCCCATATCACCCAGCAGGATGTTTGGAATGGTTTGGAAAAGCAGAAAATAAACACTGCCATGCTCAGCAACCAGGCACCCAAACCAAAGGCTTCAGAAGGGTCTTATCCTCCAAAATTTCAGCTGTTGGACAGGGCTTGGAACAACCTGGTCTAGTGGAGGATGTCCCTGCCCATGGTAGGGCTCAGAACTAGATGGTTTTTAAGGCCCCTTCCACCCAAACCACACCAAGCTCCCAGAAAAGAAACTGAATTCCTAATTTGCTGAGTTGTTCTGAGCACTAGGAACTCGCTCACTGTGAGCTCTGAACTGAAGGAAGACCAAAAACCTCCAGGGATTTGCCTGTCCTGGTGTGGTGGGTTGACCCCCCCTGATGCCCAGTGCCCACCAAAGCCACCCCATCATTGCCCTCCTCAGCTGGACAGGGAAGAAAATATGAGGGAAGGTTCCTGGGCTGGGCTGAGGACAGGGAGACATCCCTCAGAAATTACTGCCAGGAGCAAACCAGACACTGGACTTGGAGAAAGAACATCAAATCAGAGTCAGGTAATGAGAGACAACCCCAAATCTTAAACCCCTGTCCTCCCACCCCTCCTTTCTCCCTGGGCTCAACTTCCCTCCTGAATCCTCTCCCTCATCCCCCTTTCAACAGTGTTTGTTTTCCCATGGATGTCCCTGTATTCTTACAGGAATTCTTCACTCTTTTTATGGCCAGGCTGTGCTATCTGTCAATGCTGCTCCAAGAATTGGCTGATTGCTCCTAATTACCAAGCTCTGTTCCATTTGAGAACCAGTTGATGCTGATGCTTTTGGTCCTCTTTAGTTATTCCAGGTAGAGGGAAGTCATAAAAGTCAAATATCACAGAATATAGGCCATCATTAGTGGGAGAGGCCACTGTAATGGATCAGGGTGGAAAATGGGAAACCCAGGCTTGCCCCTGCTTTGTGCTCCTCAAGCTTCAGATAATGTGCTGCAGCAATTTATTTCATTTTAATGATGGAGAAGGGGAAACATGTAATTTTTCAGTCATTTCACACATGCCATTAGCACCATAATTTGAAAAGATAATGATTTTCAAACCACCTGCTATCTGGCAGATGCTTAAATATTGGCACGTGCCTGGAATGTGGTATGAAACATATCTGAGGGGTTTCATTGCCCACTGATGCAGCAGCTTCTGTTCTCCTGGAGAGTGCTTTCTGTACAGGTTAATGAGGGAGACTTGCTGTTGTTTGGAAGTACATCTGCCAGGGGTCTTTGTTATTAGACAACAAACAGGGATGATCTTCACAGGTTTAGTCAGTTGGTTTTGTGTTCGGTGCTTTCCAACAGCAGGAACTCAGGATGAACATCAGGCCTGGGGTAAAGTGAGACCTTTGGAAAACATCCTGAGGAATGTCACATCCTAGTAGGTGAAGAACAGTGATTTATACGTTATCCAAAATGTGCTGGGGATGTCTGATCTTCTCAGGGGTCCTTGGAAGTCAGTAGAGAAAGCCAAGCCCACCAGGAGCCCTTTTTTTGTGGCATCACAAACCCTGTGTGGGGCTCAAAGTGGTGTCACCTCACTGGTGACACTTCCAGCAGCTCAGGCTGCAGATCTTGCAGTGAGTGCTGTTACTTTTTTATGTGTCTGCACATACCTTTATGCATTCAATAGTAGGGAGCTAATACTGAATTTGGCACCGTTTTCCACCAGAAGTGCAACATCTTGATTGAAAGAGGATCCTTGGCTGGGAGAGAAAGCCCTGGATGTGAGCACCAGGAGAAAGTTGTGTCCTGATCCAGATTCAGTTCTGAAGCTGCATTTGCTTACTCCTATTCCCTTTCAGTGGAAAGGAAGAAAATTCCCCTCCCCAAACCCAGAAAATGCCACACAGTGAGTAAGAAAATAACCACAGTCACTGTGGCATCATAATCTTCTGGAATTGCTTGGAGGTGCTTGGATAAACCTCCTAATGCAGGAGCAGCACCTAAACTATTAATTTCACATCTGAGCCCAAGTCAAGTGGAGATTGTGAGCTAAGAGGGTTCATTTAGAGTGGATCTTGGTGATGATTGTGAGATGCTGTAACAGGATTACAAAGGCAACACCGATGTGTTTGTGAGGTTTGTGCTTGGAAGTATCAGACAGTGGGAATTTGCTGTAGCCACCACAAGGGATGTGATCTCAGCTGCTAATCTGAGCAGAAAATAACTGGATTTTACTTAATTGGGAAAATTATAACCTACCAGAACACAGCCTGTGTGGTGGGTGAGAGGGAAGGAGCAGAGTCAGAGCTGGCACTTAAACTAATTACACAGACAAAGCCATCCCAGGCTGGACATGCCCAAGATGAAGAACCTTTGGAATAACCTTTTGGCACAGGATTATCTTTCCCTGTCTCTCCAGTCCTGGACCAGATGAACCAGACAACTGTTTTAGTTTCTTTTCAAACCTGCAGTGATACACTGGAAGGAACGATCACCCTACAGGTTTGTCAGGGTTGCTGAAAATGCAGCATAATTTGAAAAACTCGATTTTAAACATGAAACATCCTTGTGTTTCTCCAGCTTACATAAGGATTAGAAGCCTTGCTAAATTCACTGTGGTACAAATTTTTTTCCCCAATGGCTTGGGGAAACATTTGTAAAAGTGGAAGCACCAGCAGTCCCCCAAATGTTCCCCTTGATTCATGAGGGTTTGACTTAATTGTGGAGCAGCTTCAGCCACAGCCTGATTGGTTCCTCTGCAACTCTCCACTCTCTCAGCCATAATTTTGAGTGATTGATGATTGAAATGTTATTTAAATCACCGAGCTTTCCTCTGTCAGAATTTGAAACTCACTAATGGAGACTAAAACTGAACAATCTGTTCACTGGGTTGGTTTTTTTTTTTCTTCTCTTGAAAAGTGCTAAAATGCTCGATATTTCTGTCCTCTGCTACAAGGGCAGCATAAAGGGACGTCTCAGAAGGAGTGATAATGTAAACATTTGCCCCTGACAGATAAAGCAGCGTGGAATAAACAGGATTTGACAGCATTAACAAATTTACTGTGTTGGGTTTGAATGCATTAGCTGTGGAAAGGTTTGATAATGTCCTGGCTTTCAAATGATGGTCTTCCCAAAGTGCTGCACAGATTTGTCTCCTCCTTCCACTCCGTAAATGACTGCATCATTTACACATTTAATGGCTCTCAGATTACCTGTCTGCCATTCGATTCTTGGGCTGCAGTGAATGAAAAACACAAACCAGTGCTTTCCCAGGACATAACTGATTACTTTACATCACTGGCAGCCATGTATCAACCTGCACCTCACAATCCTGTGGCTCTGGAAAATCCGGGGAAAACAGATGGTTGTACCCAGCCGTTAATTATATTTAAGAATTTCTGTCTACTACCCACAGCAAGATGGCTGGGGAAAGGTTGTTTCACAGTCATGGCGTGTTAGGATGATGTTTAATCACAGCAGGGATGTCGAACACCGAGAACCTGGGGAGGTGATCTCAGCTATAATAAAGGTGACCTTTGAAAAAAGGTTTCTGCACCGAGGCCTCTTTGGTTTTCCCTCTTGTCTAGAAACAGAGGAAGTCAGAGAGAATTGTGGAGCATTAATTATGCAACTGGTAGCATTTAACATCCTAAAATGAACATTGGAGTAGGTTGGGCTCAGAGAGGTGAGAATGCACCTGAAAATATTTCAAGTTCTGTGGACAGGTAGAAGGAAAGAGGTCTTATGATCTGACAGGTTCTTATATTTGTCCTAAGATCATTTGAAAAAGCCCTAAAAAATTAATAGCTATACAACTAATTATATAGAGAGTGTAAGCCACAACCTTTGAACAGGCTTCATAGGAATATATTCTATGTCTAAGAGAGCATAATAGAGAATTTTTGGATCTAGTTTTCAAAGTAGCGTGGAAAATTCAAAGGCATATCATTAGGAACATTTATTAGCAGGCTTTCTTCCCCTATTGCCATGCCATCAGGGCTCCTCCATCTGCGTGGCACACAGATCAGTCATCCCAACTCGGTGCATTCCTGGGACATCCTCACTCAGCTCCCAGCCCTTACAGACACTTGGGCAAATGGAATTGTTCTAAACTGCCCTTAAAACTTTCCACTCCGGGGACTGAAACTTCCTATCTCAGTCTGGCCGTTTTCTATCACTTAAAAAAAAACCCCAAACCTACAAATCCCCATTCCAGGCTCAGCTCCCAGGGCTGGGGTTGTCCCTGGGGACACCTGGGCAGGGGTGGCCTCGCTGGGGTGGGACAGCGTTGGGTTTGTCACTCAAGGGGGTTGAGTTGTTTTAGTGGAGAGTTTTGGCAGCCAAAGCTGGCCTGGATTTCTGATGAAGAGGATTCACTTTTGGGATGATTTTTGTATTTCTTTGGAGTGTTTGCTGTGCCATTTGCTTGAACGAGGCTGGTAAAGGTGGTGTCTCTCCTCAGTGACACCCTGCCAGCTGAAGTTTGGTCTTTTGTCCATTAAAATCTGATAATTCCACTGATTCCAAACCATTGCCTGGCCCTCAGTTATCTGAAGGCTTTTTAACACAAATGAGATTTTCAGTTCCTTCAGTGTATTAAAATTTGGAACCGTGATTTACCCCCATATCAAACAGGCTTCTAGTTCATGTAAGTATAATTTATATCCTATTTCATCCATTGCATCCATTGTCAGTGTAATGTGAACAGGCCATGGGGTAAATAAGAGTTAAACCATGTAACTCAGCCTACTAAAATAATCTTATTTAACAAAGTTTATTTTCTGTCAGGCATTTCATTTCCCCTTGTGTATAATTAAACTCAAAAATAATTGTCCAGCAACTGTAATGTGTAACAACAAAGACAAGCTGCAGTCTTGAATTTATTAACAATCCCCTATTTATTTGTAATAATAATCTCCTATTTATATGTGAGCAGTAAAATTAAATTTAATTGTTCATCAAGGTATATTTTGTTACAGTGACTCCAGCTACAGCTTTTAGGACATCATGGCTTAAATCCAAATCCAAGTATTTACATCTATAAAATTAAGAAGAATGTGGAGAAATAATTAATGGTAAGAAATTAATTGGCAGTCTCAGTGAAAGCATCTGCTTGTTTTCCTACACATTGCTAGTACTCTGTTTTTCTCCCTTAAATTATATTTTTCCATAATAACTTTAGATAATCTTTCAATCCAAGCTTTTATGGCTGTCATTATTTCACAGAGGGAGGAAAGAAATACAACAGGGCTGTGAAAATTTAACACTCCATAAAACCGCCTGTCTGCCGACTGCCACCAGGATGGATGGAGCTCCAAACTTTTCTTTTACTCACTCAGAGGCATCCCAGGGCTGGGAGAGGCACCAATTCCTACCCAAAAAAAAAAAAAAAAAAGAGAGAGAGAGAACATTTTAATTCAAGGAGAACTTCTTTCCTTACTGAGAATATTACCGTGCACATTTTCATTTTATTAGTTTATGTACACAGCTACCAAGCTATTTGCGTGTTGCAGGGTTTTATTTTAGATTTAGCAAATGAATGACATCCAAGCAATTTTAGATTTAATTTGATCAATATTTAATGAATTATAATTATCATTACGACTCAGAGTTTTGCACTGCTCTATATTGCTACATAATGTTTAATCAAGGGGAGAGAGAGACTTAAATGCAAGTGGAAAACAGCTATCAAGTTTATGTTAAAGAAGTGTACTGGGATTAGTTACTAAATTGCAGAGGTCTAATTTAATAATTTTTTTCTAGTTACTGCTTTAAAATTGATTTCCAAGAGCATTTCCCTAATTTATATTTTCGAATGCCTGCCATATTTGTTTTGAAAAATACACAAAACCCAAAATTACTTTGTGGTATCAGAGTTTCAAGTCTCTGCATCCCTAGCAAAAATTCCCAGGTGTTCTCTCTGGGAATATGAGGATAACATGGATAAAGGAGATGTGCCTGTATGGACAGAACAGCACAAAAGAGTTGTCAAAAGACTTGGCTTATTCAGGGACAGTTCTGTAAATACTGTGGGGATCAGCCAAACTGTTTAAGGTCAATGGATCTGAAAGAGTGAAATAAGTCATGAAAATCCAGGGGGAAAAAAGTATGTTTGGTATTAAACCTCTTGTTCCATAAACTAAAGATATCTTTTCCTCAGAAATGCAGGTCACTGTCTGTATTTAGTAATATCAACGTGATTTCCCAATTTTTAGGGGTTAAGTAGAGTTTATGAATCGTGAAACACCTTGTGTGGTACTGCAGGTGAGGTAGAAATGTGTGTAGGCGTGAGATCTGAGCAGGAAGGCTGGAAAAAGTCTAAAAACTTCTGTTTTGCAGAGCCACGGAACCACAGAAGGGTTTGGCTTGGAAGAGGCCTCAAAGCTCGTATCAAACACCTGATTTTTGCAGACAAGGAGCTTGTCTTGGACACTCCCAGGGATCCAGGGGCAGCCACAGCTTCTCCAGGGCCTCCCCAGGGAACAACCCCTTCCCAACACCCAATAAATCCCTCACTTCCTCCAGATTTTTACTTCAAAGGCAAGGCTTTTGGAAACAAGTTTGTTATGTAATAAAAAAGCCATTGGCTTTTCCTTTCCAGGTGTTCCTGAAGAAGGAAAAACCAATGGGACAGAGATGCTCTTCACCCACAGGCTTTTGTGGCTCCTGCTGTTTCTGACAGAGTTTGGTAACTCCAGGTGAGGGATCTTGTGTTGAAAAATGTGATTTTTTAGCTTTCTTTGGACTACTAGTTGTTTACTTCCAGTAGGCAATTCAGGCTAAAAGTATGTCCCAAGATCTGAGGTGAGATCCTCTGGTGAAAAGTTATAATTAGAAATGTGTTTGTGATCAGGTAACGAATGTGGTGTGGTTAAAAAAAAAAAAAAATCTGTGTTCAACACTGTTGGTTACAGCTAAATAAAAACAAAGGAAATTTTAGCTTAACAGTGATTTTCCTTGTTGGAACACTTGTTCTTTGAGTTAACAATTTGGAATGCAGGCTGTGGTCCTGGTCGTGGTTGATCATAAAGCAGAGTCCAATTTTATTTGTTTTGAGCCTTTTCAAAAGCTTTTGCTAATAAGAAATGAAGGGTATAAAAATCTGAAAGCAAAAGACAAACAACATCCAGGCCCAAAACGTTTGCCTGTGTAAGGGTTTTAGTGGAGAGGAATTACACAGCCCAGCCTTGTTTAGCAGTTTCACAACTGGACCCTTAATTTGTTTATTTTTGTCATAAATCATGTTGTTAAATAATGCACTCGTGTTCTTCTTATTTTCTAGATGTCATAACATTCTTTTGAAATGGGTAAAAATGCTTAAATTCTGATATTATTAATATGGGTAAGGCACAACTCCTGCATCTGACTCTATTCATCACATCCCCAAATTAATCATCAGGGACAGAACCCAATATCTCATTTCAGGCAAAGGCCAATAGCTCTTGGGGAAATTAAATCATCTCTCAGAAATATTTCATTTTGAAAAGCTAATAATTCAATGGAAATGGATTTTTAGAGGGAAAACCTGAGTGTGTTACATAATCTTTCTGCAGGGGTCTCCACCTCCCACATTAACATTCCTTGTCACATTTGAAATCAGAATTCGTGGAAAAATAGTTTACACTGTTGTTGTGAGTGTCACGGTCCTTTAATGTGTCTGAGATGATAATAACATCATTTGGGAACTCAGGGGAACAGCACTTAAATCTGGCTGAGACAGAGACAAAATCTGATTGAGGCAGAGGCAAAATCTGATCGAGGCAGAGACAAACGCAGAGGAAGTGGCATATTCGGAGCAGGGGATTCTCAGCTTTGCAATGGCATTTTTATCTCATCTTTTCCCTCCCCTGTTCCACTGGAGATTCGTGTGTCCAGCCACTTCTGCAAAATAATGTGCAATCTGCTCCTCTGTCCCCCTTCCCACTTGGTGTGACAACTTAATGGAGAATGGAAAATGCATTAAAAGCCTATTTATATTTGACTTTCCTGCTCTAGGTAGCAGACAGCTCGTGGCTCTGCAGTGAGGGAGAAGAGGAAGGACCTGCACCCTGTGCTGAAGGTGGGTGAGGGGAGATGATGTACTTGGGTTTGGAATTTTTTCTTGTTCCAATAAGCGTTCATAACACTTGCCACTTTAAAGATGTATTGGCCATTTCAAAACAAACCCGGGATGGATTATTATTATTATTATTTAGTTGTAAAGCAGGTGTTCAGGTGTTTCCTTTTGGAAGGAACAGGCTCAGTTGAACGTTGTTTCATGGCATTTTCAGGCTCTGGTAGAGAAGTTTGCAGTGAAGTCCCCCACTTGCCTCAGCAGGAGGAGAGTCATAACGTGCTCTAATAGCTAAAAAAGGAGGTTGCTCTGTAATTTTTCTTTAGCTGGAGTCCTTTTTTCTCGACATCTTTCTGCTCCTGGAGGTGCAAGAGGTGTGATCATCAGCAGGGCTCACACCCTTTGTTTGTCTGTGCCCCCTTGGGCTGCTCTGCTCTACAAACACCCCCTGAACACCCCCAGGTACCTCTGGAGGAGCTGCAAAGACACCTGAGGGAAGCAAATCTGGCCATCAGCAGGCCTGGCTTTGCTCCCAGGGGGTGTCTCCTGCCGGGGGAAGTTCTCAGCACTGCCAGTTGACATAAAGGATGAAAAGTTCACGCCAGGATGGACCTTGAGATTAAATCTGCCCCGTAAACAACGGCCTGAACCCTCGGGAATCTTTTCCCAGCAGTCCCAGGCGAGACATAATGTAATCCATACGGTTCATCCCAGTGACATATTAATTATTGATTACGCCTAATGAATATGCTAATATGCAGGATCCAGGAGTCTCTGCCGCCCTGCTGTGCTCTCCAGGCCCTCATACATTTTTGAAGAGGTGTCTGCAGGAGACACTGCCTGGGCTTGTGATGAACACCACACACGGAGTTCAAGGACTTCGGGGAGAACATCCCAGACCTGTTCTGTCTGACGGCTGCTCCTGAAGTTCTGAATTAGATTATTTGCCTCCTCTCCCTGTACATGGGGTGAGTTGTTGGTGTTTTCCTGTTCAGCTGGGGATATAGGATGAGGTGTGACCTCGTTTTCCATTTCGAGCGAAGCGGGGGAGGGGAGGGAAAAAGAAGTGGGAAGAAGTTCAGCCCAACAGTCCAGTTAATAATGCAGTGAAACTTCAGCACTCCTTCTGTGGGCATTTACAAGGAGATGACAAAAGGCTGTTAAGCCTTTCTGTCTTCCCACTGGTTCTAACACTCAGGTGAGATAACCAATATGCACAGAGGAAACAAAAAAGTTTCTGCTGACTGGGCCTTGACTGAGGTTTTTGAATGCAAAGCAAAGGCTGATGTTTAAATTGCTTCCCTCTAAAGAGCCCTGGGGTGCTCTGTGCTGCCTGGGGGGGCCTCAGCAGATGCATTCACAAGCCTTTATGGTCGAAACCATTAATACAACAACACATATTAAGGCAGGGACAATTAATGTAATAAAAGAGATGAAAATGGGAATGGTTTAGTGAGCCAGGCTTGGAAGAAGTGCCATTGTGAAGCTTTACAATGCAAGACAGAATGGTGTCTTGAGAACCTTACCATGAGCACTTGTGAGCTGATAAAATATCAACCTTGAAGCTATTAGACTGCAGAGAAAAAAAAAAAAAGCCCCTTTCATTTTCTGAAGGCTGAATTATTTAATTTCAGCAATTGTTATTTTTCTGCTCCTTCTCAAGTGTTAACAGGCTCTCTCCTGTGAATCACAAATGAAGTGATGCTACAGCTGCAAGCCAAGGCCCCATAAGAAGTCAAACAATGCATAAAGAAAGACTTGACTCCAAAGCCCAGTCTGTGTATCGATTATTTGAGTAAAGGAGCGTTATAAAAAGGCAGTGATACTGAGTCTCGTGGACAGTCGGGTTTTCTGAGTTATAATTCCGTTTCAAAATTCTTTGTAGAGTTTGGGAAAGTCCTTTCTTGGATGGGGGTTAATTGTGGGAAAGGTCAACAGGTGTGTATGTTCTAAGTTTTCATTTTAGAGCAAACCAAAGCACTAAAATAACGAATATATTTCTTTTATATATATAAATAAATATTTAAAATATATAAAATATAAATAATGTAACTAATATAAACTTGAATGAAGATTTTCCCCCCAAAGTCAGGAATTGCAGCTGACAACATCTGTTAGAGATCTCTACAGTCTGAGAAAAGGAAAGTCGTGTTAATATAAACCCATGTAAATATAATCTGAAGATCACCATTTTTCCCCTGACAGAGCAGCAGATAAGATTCCTCTTTCAGCCGGGGAAAACATTTATTGATCCAGCAGTTGTGCAAAAAGAGCGATGAGGTGGATGAGTTTAAACTGCCCTAAGGTCTCCCAAAACAGTAGAATAAATGGTTGTGTAACAGCAGGTTCTCTTCTTACCTTCATTTCTAGCAAAAAAATGTAAATATATTCCTGGAACCACAGAATAGTTTGGGTTGGAAGGCACCTTGGAGATCATTTCATTCCCCCCCACGCTGAAATCCCTGGGGAAGGTGTCAGGGCACAGGAGAACAAATTCCTGCCAAAACCCAGGTACCACACACGACACACCCCACGAGAAATTCCACAGCCTGTGGATATCTTTGAAGGGAGAGCAGAGACAATACAAAAGGTGCAAGAGCAAATCCTGCATTCCCGTGGTTGCCCCTGGGGGTCAAAGCAATAAATACTCTGTTTTCCTTGCTTGAAGTTTTATCTTTTCTGTAAGAATGTGATTTTGCTTTCAAAAAAGCTTTAATTCTTCTTGCTTGTGAAAACAAATTTCCTCGCCAACCCATAAATAATCACAGGGAAAAAAAAATAATAGCAGCCTAATTTACATCTAACCTTTCTTTTTAATGATTAATGGGTACTATTTATGTAAACTGTTTCTACATTCCGGCGTGAAATGAAATTTAAATTGCAAATTTTACAGTGGTGTATTTTAACTGGTGACCCTTTCCCCAGTCACAAATTAAAAAAAAAAAAAAATCCCAATTACATTTGTAATAAAGATGCTAATGCATTTCTTGTTTTTTTAGGGCACGTGAAGTTCCTGCTGCCTGCAACTTTTATTTTCCCCGTCGAGGAGCCAATAAAAACATGTTTTCCAAAGAGCTCCCAGACCCTGGGGTGGGTGTGGTGGGTGAGGAGGAGTTCTCAGCACATCCACTTTGCAGCAGCATCCACGGGCAAGGACACCCGCGGTGTCTGTCACTGCCCACTGCCCTGGTGTCGCTCGTGGTCGCTTCGTTTGAACCCCAGGAGGACACAGAAGGGGGAGAGGAAGGACTGGAGTGTTTTGCTGTGTCTGATCCCATCCAGTGTCTGATCCCATCCTGTGTCTCATCCCATCCAGTGTCTCATCCCATCCAGTGTCTCATCCCATCCAGGACCCCGCTCAGCTGAGGCTTTCAAAGGTCAGCACAGCTCTGCAGCCTCTCCTGGAAGGGCTGGTGGCCACTGTGAGACCCACTGAGGTGCAATTAAAGGCGAGGCACTTGCAAGGTCCAGTGGATTGGTCACATCAGTTTTGGGGAATGAGGAGGAACAGGGACTATCCAAGTGTGTCTGGGAAAAATGACACCAGAACTGAGTGCACTTTGCTGCTTGAGGGATGCTGGAAACGTGGCCAAGAGCTGGAAGTATTTTCAAGGCAGAAAAACTAGATGGAACCACATAAAAACTACTCGAGAAGTCATTGGGGTTTTTTAGTTGCCTTTTCTTTTTTTTTTTTTTTTTTTTTTTCCTTTTTTTTTTTTTTTTAGAAGAGTCCTTTATTTTTGGCTGGGAGAGGGGAGCTTTATTCTATTTTTGTAACAACATACCGTCAGAAAAGCAGAGGACCAAGTGCAGTCTTTGTGTCTTTACATGCACAGAGGGAAGTTGAAAGGTGGCAAGGACAAAACCCAGAACAGTGTGCAGGAAGGCAGAGCTTTGGTGCTGCACAGAACTGCTTTCTGATGGTGACAGGAGGCAGAGAGCTGCAGTGCTCATCACTTTTTGCTGCTCTGTGTGTCCAGCGCTGTGAAAATGTTTTTCTTCACTCACAGGCTGAGCAAACTCCTTCTGTGAAACGTTAAATGTGGAACCCCTGGGTGTCGTTGGAAGATTTGCTTTGCAGAGGAAAAGAGCACTTTAATGGCAGGTTTATAAACCCTCTCAGCAATCCTTCTGAGGACTGTGACAGGGATGACCCCCAGGAATTTCAAGCTGCCTTGTCTCCTGGCAGCACTGAGTTGTTCCTGGCTGTGGGAGGAGTTGTTCCCTTGGGAGAGGGAGCACCATGGTGTGGTGGGATTTCCTGGGATGTGGAGCTGAGGGGGGGCAATTTAACAGGGGCAATCACCTCCCTTTGACTTGGATGGAGCCAACAGCTCAGTGTCAGATGCCTTGGGTGCTGCAGGTGGCTTTTTGGAGAGCTGCTCGTGGTGGGTGCTCAGAGCAGCAGGTACCAGCAGCTCCAGGGTGGCCAAAGGCAGAGCTGCTGTGGGGTAGGAAGCAGAGAACAAGGACGATGGAGAGGGATTTTATTCAAGGTCGTGGAGTGGTAGGAGTAGGGGAATGGTCTTAAGTTGGCAGGGAGTAGAGTTAGATGGGATATTGGGAAGGAATTGTTCCCTGGGAGGGTGGGCAGGCCCTGGCACAGGGTGCCCAGAGAAGCTGTGGCTGCCCCTGGATCCCTGGGAGTGTCCCAGGCCAGGCTGGACGGGGCTTGGAGCAGGCTGGGCTGGTGGGAGGTGTCCCTGCCCAGGGCAGGGGGTGGCACTGGATGGGCTTTGAGGTGCCTTCCCACCCAAACCATTCCGTGATTCTGTGACACCTTCAGTAAAATCCCAGTTTCCAAGTGTTAAAACCAGCCCAAGGAGGAGGTTCTGTCCATGGTACTGACTGACAGGGGGATGATTTTGGCACAGCACATCACTGTTTGCTGTTGGCACCTTCAGTGTGGGAAGCCCAGAGCTGGAGGTCCTGCTGGATCACTGGCAGCTCAGCCCATGCACCCACTGCTCGTGGAGCTTTGTTCATCTCCTCTCACAAAACTTGAGAGGCCTGAAACCTCAGAGCTCGCTGCAATCGCTCCTCTCTGTGCCATGATCTAATTGGTTGCCCTGGCAATTTATTAGCACATGATGCTGCCTTTGTGTTGGCACCAGCCTTGAGCTCTGCTGCTGGGTGGATTTGCCTTTCCTGCTATTGTTCTGGCCAGTGAAAGCCCACCTGACCTTGCTCCTTCGCTTAATAGCTCTTTGTGAAGACTTAACTGAGTGGGATTTCTCTGTGCTCGCAGTGCTGTTTTATTATTTTCTCATTTATTTTTCCTCTGGAGGCATTGTGTAGTTCCAGTGAAGAGGTTGGGTCCCTTCAGTGATTCATTTTGTGCCACTCACTGTACAGGTGACCAAAGCACTCGGAATTCACACAAAGCCTGATGCCCTCCAGAGCAGGCCCAGGTTCAGATCTTTCCTGACAAAGAGGCACCTAATTGATTTAATGGATTGTTATAACCTCAGACAAGGCTTTAGGTTAGAATAAAACCACTTTTTCTTTTTATTTTTTTCCACCCTCAGTTACTTGCCTGCAGTGGTTGCTGGCTTTTACTGAACATGAACTTATTTCTGGTGTTATTAAGAAGTAACACGGCTGGGTTTGTAAATGAGCTTGGCTAAATGGGGTCTGTAATAGATAAAAATGAAAGTTTGACTGTTTCACCTTTAATGAAGGTATTCAGGCAAGGTATTACTTATATTGCATAAACAGCCTGAGTATGATACAGCTCTGAAGATGCTGAACTTGTTAGCTTGTTGATTGCATGGTTGTGTTAGGGCTAATCATGACTGACAAATAATTTAAGCAGTGTTTCTAACTCTATTAAAGGCTATATATTCCAACAACCACGAAATCCTCATCTGAAAGGCAAATCCTGCTTGCTGCAGCCCACTGAGAATCTTTCCAGGCTCTGCACACAGCAAAATGTTTGTTGTGCTGCTAGATGTGAATATTGACTTTTAATTTACCCTTTAAAATTAAAATCAAGAGAAGAGAAAACCTCTTCTAAAGAGTTTGAGCCCCTTCTTATTTAAACAATTATCAGTGTAGGGAAACACCAGGCAACATCCCTCTTCCATGACTTCCAATTTGCCTGGATGGGGAAGGGAAGGCTTTGGTGGCAGGTTTATTTGTGCTTTTTAATAAAACTATTGATTTTGTGCAATCTCTTCTACCGTGAGAGTAGAGTATCAAACTGTTGCCTGTTTTTACTCCTTCCAAGAAACTGCTGGAATCCCTCTAGCCCAGATTGCTCCTGTCCTTGGACACTCCCAGGGCTGGAGCAGCCACAGCTTCTCTGGGCACCCTGTGCCAGGGCCTGCCCACCCTCCCAGGGAAGGATTCCCACCTAACCCTGCCCTCAGTTAAAGGGAAAAGGGGAGGTTCCCTCTCTAGGAAATATTTCCAGTCCTGTCTGAGATCTGGTTTGCTCTGGACAGGTGAGATGGGATGAGCTCCTTTGGTGTTTTCATCTGCAGCCTGAGCACGTCCTGCTCCTCAGCACTGCTCCCTGGGTGAGATAAGGCATTTCCTGGAGAGGAAAAGATTTCTTTGGGCTGTCTTTGTGGAGTACAGGCTGTAAAACCATTTGCAGTGTATTGAATCACTACTGGTTTTCTCTATTCTCACAAAGAAATTTTGGAAAAAAAAAAACCAAGCCCAAACCATCTGCCTCCCTTTTCTGTTTTCATAGAATCACAGAACATCCTGAGCTGGAAGGGACCCACAGAGATCATCAGGTGCAACCCCTGGCCCTGCACAAACACCCCAACAACCCCCCCTGTCCCTCAGAGCGTTGTCCAAACCCTCCTGGAGCTCTGGCAGCCTTGGGGCTGTGCCCACTGCCCTGGGGAGCCTGTGCAGTGCCAACCACCCTCTGGGGGAAGAACCTTTTATTGCTATATGGGATTTTTCATATGAATATTTATCCTTTTTAAGCCCATTTTAAAGGTCTGATGCTGCAGGACTTCGTGCCATTTGAGTACCAGACCATCATCAGAAGGAAAGTCAGAGGAGGAAGATGGAATCCTCAAACCCTGAGATTTGCCTCAATTTTGGTGTGTCTTGGTTTAAGTGTCAGGTCCAAGACTGTGGCTGGAGACAGCCTTGAGGGAGTTCCTGTTTACCTCTGGGCTCATTAGAACTCTCACTGCTGATGGGAATGTACAGCTGGGTGGAAATGGGATCCTTTCCCTGACAAAAATTCCCTTGGGAATTATGCTGAGTGTAAAATTCAGAGGTCTTTGATAATTCAGCTCCATGAGCTTCCTATCAGCTTGGAACTACATCCACCACTGCAGGAACAGCCAGGATTGTCTTCTAAGACAGTTGTGTTGCTGCCCACAGATGCAATATGTGAAACCCCTAAATCACACCTCCCTAGGGGGGTATGAAGCTCAGAATCAAACCCACAAGGTTTATCTGTATTCGATTTTATTATTTTATATTTTTTTTTCCTGCCAGAAGTAAAATCATGCTCGAGATGAAGCTTGTCTTGTGGGCACTGTACTTCAAAAAAAAAAATCTTCAGAGTACCTGAAACAAAGATGAAAACATTAACGTGAAGAACATCAAACAAGCAACAATGCAACACACGATATTTAAAAAGCCAAACCAGATGACAGCTGCATCATCTCAGGCTGCTGAAGAACACCTGCAGCTGGGAAAGAAGCTGGACAGGAAGAGTTTTGAAAGGTGTGTTGGTTCTGTTAATTAAATCACTGGTCGGGAACTCTGAGGAGGGGTGTGGGCTGTTGAAACCCTCGGGCAGTGGCACAGTTTGCTGTTCCCCTGTCACTTCTAGGCTGGTCTCATTTGTGCCCAGCCTTATCAGCACGCCAGATGGAAATCAGATCTTGCAGGGGCTGTATTATTATTGTTTTGTTTTCCAGCAGATATGAAACCTGACAGTTCTCTGACATTGCTGGCAATTGAGGGCACAGACGTTTCGGGTTGCAATGTTTCTCTGCACAAGAGCTTAATGGACCTGACGTGATTTTCCATCTCTCCTCGTCTGAGGGGTGCAGGGGAGCCAAAGTGAGATGTTAACTTCCACCAGGAAAATCAGAATCTGCCACTTTCTCTTTTATCTGCTGCATCACATCCTCAATTTCTATCAACTGTCTTCAGTCGTGCTGAAATATGATTGAACATTCATCTTGTTCCACGGCTCTGGTGTACATGCAGCACGAGTGGCTACAAATTGAGAGCTTAATACCACCTGTTATTTTTATTTGCTAAAAGGGGTACCAGTTTATGCTGGTTTTCTTCATAGGAGAATAAAATTGGAGGTAAGCATTGCTTTGGCTGAATAAAATCCGATATATTCAGGCTTTGAATAGCCTGGTTTTGTTCTCTTTCTGTCCCTAATTTTGTTTTTTGTTTCATTCTCAGCCTGCAGTAAAGTCACATCTTCAGCTCCTCGTGGCTAAAAGGTGCTCCAGGTGTTTGGGGTGTGGTGACTTCACTGCCAGCCCCAGGCAAGGCTTGGAGAAGGGGAGTGGGCAGTGAGTCCCTGACCCTTCGGAGGGGCATTCCCCAGTTTTCCCTATTCCTTCTTTTGGTGCCTTGGTGAATTTTTTTACTGGTTTCAGTGAAAAAATTGACAGTGAGGTGGGTGTCACACGTTGAAAGGATCCACTGTCACGAGTGTCCTGGCAACTTCTCTTATTTTGGCTGTTTTTAAGACGTGCTTTCCTAAAAAGCACAGTGGTTTCCCACTGACAGGTTGAATCACATAGGGCTGTTGTTTTTTTTTTTAATTTTTCTAGTGAGGGTAAATATACCAGTTGTGAACAAACACTGCAAAGCTGTGTGGATACAAGCAGGAGGCAGGGTTTGGGCTTTAGGAGCCTTCCAGCCGGCATTTCGTGAGCTGCACAAAGGGGTTTTCCAAAGAAATTTGCTTTTTGTGGATCAGCTTGTCCTCATGAACCTCAGAGAGACACTCAGTGCACAGACAAAATTCACCTTTGCTGGAGCAAAGGAAAAAAGCCCTCGGAGAGGGCTGAGGGGGAAATGGGAGCTGGAAATAGAATTCAGGGAGGATTCAGCTGGAAGAAAAAGGATGGCTGGGACTGGGAGGTGGAAGGAAGGTGGATTTGATATCCCTGCTTTCTTCCCAGGCAGCCTTTCTGTTCTACATCTACTTGACCCCCAGGGCTCACAGCCTCGTGCCCCCCATCCCGGGAAGGACCCAGAAAAGATGTTAAAAAAATAAATAAAGTGAGGGGAAGAATCTGTGGAGGGAGAGTGAGGAAAACCAGGTAAGTTTGGTGGGAAAGCCTGGAGTTTTTCCATTCTGGCAGCTGGAACGTGGTGGTTCCTGGGGAGCTCATCCTGTCAGAGATTTACTGAAACATGCTGTCCTTTTTCCCAGCAGGAACTGGGATGGATGGATGGATGGATGGATGATGGATGGATGGACAGCTCCAAGACAGAAGGGCTGGGGCTGCCAATCCACATTTCCTCACCTGAAGGAGCTGAACTCGTGGGTTCCAGGCTGTGCACTCAAAATAAGCCGGTTGGTACAAACCCCACGTTGATGGTGGGTGGTAATTTTCCCCACCTCCCCCAGGAATGAGTTTAAGCAGGTAGGGTTTAGCACAGAAAACATCTCTGACCCCTGTGTTTGTTTTGCTGAGGTGTTTTTACTGCATTTACCTGCTCT